TCCCCTAAATGTGTTTAGGGTTAGGGAAGATGTTCAAAAATACGGAATCAAAATACTTCTGGTTCCAAACATTTCACATAGAGTTAATCTACCTGTGGTGGTTTGGCTGTTATTTACTGTTTTGTTTATCTAGTATATAATATTTTTTGAAAGTGAAAAGCATTTAGTTTTTTCTTTTTTTTTTGCATTTAGTTTTTTCTTAAAAAATTTAGAAGTATTTGGAATGAATTTTCTTCAAATTTTTAGTATCTTGAATATTTGAGAGTATATTTACATGTCAAGCATTAGGGGCTGTTCTTCCCCATCTTAAAAAGAAAGATATTTGCTCTTTTCTTCCTGTGATGTTTATTGTAGCAAAGTTGTACTTACTTGAACTATACATACTAGATATAGTTTGATCACTGCTTTTTAAAGTTGTTTTTTGTTTGTTTGTTTGATTTAAGAGAGAGAATTTTAATATTTATTTTTTTAGTTTTGGGCGGACACAACATCTTTGTTATACGGCACTGAGGATTGAACCCAGGCCGCACGCATGCCAGGCGCGCTACCGCTTGAGCTACATCTCCAGCCTTAAAGTTTGTTTTTTGTTTTTGCTTTTAATTTTCAGGGTGCCAGATCCATTTCTTAATGTTGAATTAAGAATTTACTATTAGGACTTTTTCTGTAAATCCAGAACACACTCACCAATTCTAATGACTTGGAGTATTTATATAGTGATAATGTTTATTTTTAGCATGTTCTCCCCAACCTAAAGTGTATATGTACTTTTCTAATTGACTCTTCACTTGGGTGTCTTTCAGTGTTATCTCTATTTAAGCTACACAAGAAGTTGAACATTTTACTTAGGGCTGATTTCATGCTTTCTTTGCGCAGGCCAATAAATCTTATGGGCAACATCATCCCTTATCTTTCCCTGTCGAGTCCATCAACAAAAATAGTTCAAGGCCAGGCATGGTGGTGCATACCTATAATCCCAATATTGTTGAATTGTATAGTTTCTTAAAATATTTTATTGATCAAATTGTTTTGGGGGGCAGAACTATTAAATAGGTATATTTTAAAAAATTGTTAGCTGTTTGATATCCATCTGTTAATGTTATGATGATGGCAGTTCTTTGGAGGCTAGTAAGGTTTAAATTCATATCCTCTATTGACTCCTGTCTCTAGAACCAGTTTTGCAAAAGAAAATAAGCTTAGAACATATCCTGTTAAATGGAGAATAGTCTCTTTTTTTTTTTTTTTTTTAGTGTAGGAATGACTATTTTAGCCCAGATGCTTTAACATTTGCATTCAGAATGCTTTTCTTTGGCAAAGATTTTTTTCTATAACAAAACCATTCTATAATTAGTCTTCATTCTTATCAATGTTTCACCCAGTTTGGATTTTATATTGTAAACGATCTCAATTTTATTCCATACTGGTATAGAATACAAACTTAACCAGTTAAAATAGGAACTCCAACAATAGAGCTTTCCCATAAATTGAAATATTTAAAGCACAGTTATAAACTTGTATTCTCTTGGATCTTTTATTTAGTTTCTCAGTTTTGTAAGGAAAAATTTGAAACATCTTCTAGTTTTGAAGCTTTCTTCAATTATTCCAATTTGCTACATGCTTAAAAGTGGGGTTTTTTTATATCAAGTTTATTGAGTGCCTATTTTAAAGATTGCCAACAGACACTGAAAAACCATAAATAAAATTTAGGGGATTAATTTTATCTCCCCCTAAAGTCAGTGCCAGAATGGGTGGGGCCTTTATGTCTGTTTATATAGGAGTTCTTCAAACAACTGAAACTGATAGGATTTGTATTCACCAGCAGATTTTCACATATTTTATGGTGTACTCATTCAGTATATATTAAATTGTGAATTTTTGGCAAGCATTGCATTTCTTCCTGTTGGTATGTACCACCCCTAATCCCATGAATAATTCTTCTGAAATTTCTTAATTTAAGAGAATATCTAAATTTTAAAAAAATGTTAAATTTGCATTATAATTGATTCACAATAAAATTAGGGTTTTTTGTTTTTGTTTGGTAGTAAAAAATTGAATCATCTACCACTGGCTACATCCCCAACCCTTTAAGTTATTTGTATAGCTGCTGTTCTACAGATGTAGTCAACATAGCAGCCATAGTTTTATATCTATATGATCACAATTAAGGAATACAGAATTGTAGGGTTTCTTATTTGTTTTGTGGGGGTTTCTTTGAACTCGGCTCTCTCCAACTGAGCTACATCCCAATCCTTTTTATTTTGAGACATTGTCTAAGTTTCCTGCCTCAGCCTCCCAAATTGCTGGAATTACAGGCCTGAACCACCAAGCCTGTTTTAGAGTTACATTATTACTGGAATAATGAAATAGTTGTTATACTGAGCAAGAGCTTTGACTAGTCAGGCGGGGCTGGCTGCCCACCCTCTCATTCCCATGTTTACTCATAACCCTGCCAACTCTCCGTTCAGAGGCCACTACCTAGCATACCTGACTGGTATTAAACTCAAAGTAGCCAGCAGAAATAGCAGTGTCATACTTCCATTTACCAAAGGCTGGAGGAGTGGGCTGATAAGTCATTTGTAAGTGGGTCTACTTTGTTATCAGTGAGCCCTGTACTCTGTCTTTAAAAAGGAGGAAGTGTTTATCTTTAATCTGAAATAACCAGGAAAAGAAGTTTTCTAATCTTGCACATTTGAGCATATGTTAGAACTCTGGCCACTGAGAATCTTCTAGTGGATGAAGACAAGGCAGAATCTATAGGACTGCAAAGTGAAGATCTACTAAACTCACTCTGGCTTATTTGAATGTAGCTAATAGATATGTTAAAAAAGAAAATCTAGAACAAAATGTAAACCAGATGGCTTAAAGCATTAATTGATCACATGGTAAAACTTTCACATCTGAGGGCTAGGAATCATCATTTTTTTGTATGTCTAGTACATGGGGTTATAATAAATACAGGGCTGGATGTACAAGTGTTTTATCAAAGATCAGAGTTGGGAAAAAATATAACCAATATGTATATTTATTTCCATGCAGTTTGATTCCTGTCCTTAGTGAATAAATTTTTCTGATTGATTAAGTGAAAGAGAAGATCAATAACATTAAATTGTTGCAGTGGACAGATTATTCTTTATCTTTTAAAATTAGGTGTTGTGTGGTGGTGTGCCACTGGAATCCCAGCTACTACTTGGGAGGCTTAGGAAGGCTTGAAGAGGCTGTCTGAGCAACATTAATCCACTGCAACCCTCTTTAAAAAAAAAAAAAAATTTCCTTTGGACTGAGGATATATTTAGTTCCTTACAGAATTTTAGTGTCATACAAAATTTGAAAGTACTTAAAAGTATTAATGGAAGTGCTTTCCTAGGAGGTGTGAGGTCCTGGGTTCAATCCCCAGCACAAAGAAAAAAACATAGGAACTTGTTTTGCTTTCTAGCTCTTTAGGTTTTTGTTGTTGTTGTTGTCTTTTTGTTGGCTCCTGGCCTTGTCCTTTTTTTTTTTTTTTTTAGTTGAACCACCATATCATCTTTATTTTAACGTGGTGCTGAGGATCAAACCCAGGGCCTCACACATGCTAGAAAAGTAGTTATTCTAGAGAGAATTTTAGGAATAGTTAAAAGGTTGATGTAATGAGCGTGCACAGTGGCATTACCTGTGATCCCACAGGGCTTGGAAAGCTGAGGCAGGAGGATCTCAAGTTCAAAGCCAGACACTAAGCAACTTGGTGAAACCCTATCTCTAAATAGAATTCAAAATAGGGCTAGGGATGTGGCTTAGTGGTTGGAATGCCCCTGAGATCCATCCCTGGTACCCTTCACCCTCAAAAAAGGGATGGGGGGGATGAAGGTAATGAGATTCAACCTGAGGATACTTAGCCCTGTGAGGGTTGTGGAGTTTTTTCAGTTGGGTTTTTTTGGGGGGTCTGGGGGAGGTTTAGATTTGAACCCAAGGTCTTGTGCATGACAAGTGCTCTTCATAAGAGTGCTCTTCACATCCTAGCCCTTAATTTATTTTCAGAAATGCTAAGTTTCCTGGACTGGCCTTGAACTTGGCAATCATCCTGCTTTAACCTCTCAAGTATTTGGGATTATGGGTTTGTACCACCAGACCTGGCTTTTGTGAGATTTTTAAAGTGGAAAATAGGGTTGGTGGATTTTGTAGATGCAAGTGTGGTTCAGGAAGAACTGTGGATTTAATACAAATAAAAGGGCCTCTGATCTGGTCTTGATGTTCAGTTCTGCTTTGTCTGGGTTCTTAAAGCTGTTAAGAGATTTGTAAGAAATCAGCTTTTGGGACTGGGGATATGTGGCTCAAATGGTAGCGCACTCGCCTGGCATGTGTAGGGCACTGGGTTATGTGGTTCGATTCTCAGCACCACATAAAAATAAAGATATTGTGATCACCTAAAACTGAAAAAAAATAAAGAAAAGAAATCAGCTTTTGTTTGTATAATAAAAATTTTAGGGGCTGGGGTTGCGGCTCAGTGGTAGAGTGCTTGCCTCACATGTGTGAGGCACTGGGTTCAATTCTCAGCACCACATATAAATAAATGAGTAAAATAAAGGTCCATCAACACTAAAAAAAATATATTTAAAAAAAATTTGATATCGGTATATAATACTTTTAAGAACCCTAACCAAGATGTTTCACCATGTGTCTGTTAAATAAATATGCTTACCATGTTCTAGGAATCAGACTTAAGGTTACTTATGTTTTATTTCTCCTAATAGACTAGTATTTGATAATTGTGATTGCATTGTCTTAAAAGAATGGCCTCACTAAGAAATCAGGAATGGTGGCACATGCTAGTAATACCAGTGTTCTGGAGTCTGAAGCAGGAGGACTGGGAGTTTTTTGCCACTGAAGAAATTTAGGAGAACTTGTGTGAAAATAAAATTTTAAAATAAGTTGGAATTGGGGGCCTGGAATTTAACTCAGAGGTAGACCACTCCTGGATTCAGTCTCCTTAAATTAAAATTACATGACAATTTTCTGTTTTGGTGTAGGAACTTAGTGATTTGGCCCGTGACCCTCCAGCACAATGTTCTGCAGGTCCAGTTGGGGATGATAGTAAGTAATTTCTAAATTAATTTTTTTTAATATGACCAACTTCAAAAAAGCTTTTGTATTTTGGGATAATGCTAAAGAGTTTTTTTCTCCCCCCTTTTTCTAGTGTTTCATTGGCAAGCCACAATTATGGGACCTGTAAGTATTAAGACTTTTAAAGTTTTCCTTATAATTAAAAATTCAGCATCAGTCTGATTATAAATTTTTAAATTTAGTTCATAGGTTTATTTTATTATGTAGTGTATTCTGGTTTGGTTATACCATAATTGTACTACTTTTGAAAGAAATAGAATATTGTACTTGTTACATGTACATTGTGTATCCCTGTGTTCAGTTTTGTAGAGTATAGCATCTCTTTGGATCTACCAAATCTCTCTTTGCCTTAATTTCAGTTTTCCTTCATAGCAATGTGAAGCACTGGCATTGAACTTCTTATTACTTAGACAATTTACTGGCTCTGTTTCTATTATGAATTGTTACTCAAAGATCTTACCCTGTTCCTGTAGTTGCCAGGAATCTAGCTTACTTGTATTATTTTTATATTCAATTTCTTACAGAATTTTAGTCTCATACAAATTTGAAAATACTAGGCAGAAAGTGATATTCTGAATAGAGCAAAATTCCTTTCTATCCTGATAAGAATCTATAGGCTGGATAATTGAAAATTCAGAATTATGGATACCATCTAAGAATTTCAGAATATTAAAGCGCACTAAAACATCCTGGGTTAAGATTGTATCTTCCACAAATTCTTAACATTTTTCCCCCTTAACATAGAAGGAACTTTCTAAGTTTCTTGTATATTATACTGAAAACTTTCTGCTTCCATTTCCTTTTCCTAGTTTTATTTAACGCCAGTAATATGCTAGATGGGAAAAGGGTCATTAAACATATATATAAGTTTTTATGTAAGCAAGCACACAAATTTAGATGTCAGCTTTTAAGTAGTTAACTGTATCTTTAGAGTGGAATGCATTAGTGCTTTGTTTTGGTTTCTGAATGCATCTTATGACAGAGTATCACATTATAATGTAAATAATCTTATTTTTTGACTACGATTACCCTATATGGTTTGTATTTGTGAACCAAAACAATAAAGCAGGCAGTGTGGTAGCATAGTAATCCACAAATTTTGGATTTGCTTGGGAGAACTAGATAGTAGCAAAATCACATTTGCTTCAGAGTGCTTTTTAGGTCAGTTAAGGTAATGGTAGTATCATAGAACTAAAGATTTCTTTCTCAGTAAATGTAGCATGTAATTTAAGTTTCAGTAAAGAGTAGCTGCTGAATTTTAGTCAAGAAGCGCTCTGTATCATTAGAAGTTATATGGCAAAAATTTTTGTGTATAGGGGCTGGGATTGTGGCTCAGTGGTAGAGCGCCCACCTAGCATGCGCAAGGCCCTGGGTTCGATCCTCAGCACCATATAAAAACAAATGAATGGAATAAAGGTATCGTGTCCAACTACAGCTAAAAAAATAAATACTTTTTTTAAAAATTGTGTATAATAATAGTACATATAATTAAGAATCACAGATACGGATAAAAACTAAAATTCTTTGAAATATTTGACAGATCCTTGCTAGTTAAGTGGTTTTTTAAATGTTTGAATTTTTTGTACTATATTAAGGGTAGTTACCAATAAGACTTCATACAAAGAGAAGAAATTAACTTTCTTTCTTACTGCTTCTAATATTTGCATGTCTAATTTTTTCTTCAGTTGGAAGTGGAGTTGGCAGAAGGTGATATGTTTGAAAGTATTTGGAGAACCACACTAACCTCCATCTAATTGTGACAGTTATAAAAGATAGAACTGTCTGAATATTAGCTTGAGTGTAACTACAAAAGCCATCTGAAGTAAAATCTGTCCATAAGAATTATTTTACTGATCCATAAAGATCAATTTTAAATGTATTATGTCACTTTCTACAAAGGTTAACTATATGTGAAATTTTCCCTTTTTTCCTTTTTCGGTAGTGGGGATTCTGCAGAGGCACTTTACCACAGCTTTGCATTTCCAGTTCTTCTTACTTTTATTGTGAGACTGTCTCAACTAAGTTGCTTAGGGCTGTGCTAAGTTGCTGAGGCTGGCCTTGAACTTGGGATCATCCTGTCTAGGCCTCCCAAGTCCCTGGGGATTATAGGCATACACCACCACCCAGTTTTTACCCTACTCTTTAAAGATCTTCAACTATATTAAGAGGGAAGTATAAGTATTAAATAAGGTAGATGATTGTAATTAGTAAATAGCCAGCAAATTGGGTTAATGTATTGACTATTGGGAATAACATTTCAAATAAGGGAAAGAAATAGGAGATATAATGGAATCACTTTAACACTAGGACAGAGATAATTGGAAAGGAAAGCCAGAATAATAGCAGAAATACCAGTACTAACATCTTGAACTAAGGTAGTGGCAGTGGGCATAGGCATAAAGGAGAGGCAAATTCAAGAAATTTTGAAGTTCTTTAGGACTGGGTAACCACTGTGAATGAGTCAGATGAAAGGAATAATCAACTGCAAGATCCTGGTTTATAGATTTCTATTGTGATTTACTGTTGATAGGAAAAATAGTGTTGAAGAGATTAGGAGTTTGTGTTTTGTATATGTGATGAGATATCAAGTAGATTGAATAGACATTTGAATGAATGCCAAGGAATGAATATGACACTAAGGGAAACTTCGAGAGTATGCAAAATATATGTGGGTGGGAGTTAGAAGCAAAAAATGATCTCTAGGAATACCAACATTTCATGATTGCCACAGAAGGAATAAAAGACACCAGGGGGGCAGCAACTAGGACTAACGGGATAGAAGAAGGATTCTACAGAAAAGATAGAATATAAGTTCTGTTTCTAAGATTACAATAATCAAAGTATTTCTTCTTTTAGTTCCTTTGTTTTTGTTTTGTTTTTCTTTATAGTTCCTGTCTCTTTTTTTAATATGGCCTTGTCTTTAAGTCTGTTTTACTTTTTTCCTCTTTGATGTGGTGGAATTTTAATGTAACATGGAAATGCTAAGCTGCTTTTTTTTTCTTTTCCTTTCTTTTTTAAACAAGTAAAACGAAATTTGGCTTTGCCTAAATTGCATCATTGAGTTCTTTGTTCAGAAGCAGTCAGACATAACCCTTGATTGTGTGAAACTGGAAAATGAAAGTTAAACAGAGCATCTGAAATGGGGTTTTGAGAAAACTTTAGTTATGTAGGACCATCACAAAATTATTAATTATTTATATAGTAAAAACTTATTTTCTACATGCTATATAATATAGCCATATTATTTAACAAAGATATGCTCATCTAATAAATTTGTTATATTTTGGGTGCCTTGCTTTGAATTTTTTTCCCCTTTTTTTACATTTTATTTGCTATTTTAGATATACATGACAGTAGAGTGTCATTTGACATACATACATATGGAGTATTACATTCTAACTAGGATCCCATTCATGTGGTTGTACATGATGTGGCATTTCACTGGTGATGTAGTTATATATGAACATAGAAAAGTTGTGTCTGATTCATTCTACTCTTTCCTATTTTCATCCCGCCTCCCTTCTCTTCAGTTCCCTTTGTCTAATCCAGTGAATTTCTATTCTTCTCTCCACCCTCATTTATTTTGTTTTAGTATCTGGCATATCTCAGAGTACATTTCAGCCTTTGGTTTTTTTGGGATTGATTTATTTTACTTAGCATGATAGTCTCCAGTTATATCCACTTACTGGCAAAAGTCATTCTTTATTATGGCTGAGTAATATTCCATTATGTATATATACACATCATATTTTCTTATCCATTCAATGTATTGAAGGGCACCTAAGTTCTTTGGGTATATATTGAATGGGATAACTGGGTCAAATAAATGGTGGTTTTGGTTTTATTTATTTCCTCTATTATTCCTGGGTGTTGCTTTGTTATTATAGGTCTTTTTAATTAAATTTTATAGGACTCAATAGTAGCTTACTCTTTTTATTGCTTTCATTGGTTGTCCAATTTTCTTTTTTGTGTGTGTGTGGTATTGGGTATTGAACCCAGGGGCATTCTGTCACCAAGCCATTTTTGAAACACGGTTTCACTAAGTTGCTGAGGCTGACCACAAACTTTGGATCCTCCTGCCTCAGCTTGCCAAGTCACTGGAATTATAGGCATGCACCATTGTGCCCAGCAGGATTTATACATTTCTTTGAACCTGATTCTTCAATAATTAACTTCTTTCTTTTGAACCCCCTGTGTATTTCATTCACATTTCATATCTATAACATTTTATTGTGTGTATTTTATGGGTCTTGGTAACAGAATTTTAAGTCTGTCAAGATTTAAAAAAATCATTTTCTGTGATCTTTTCACATATCTAGCATGTAGTGGGGAGTTAATAATTATTTTTCTGAGGAGTTGGAATTGATAAGCTATATTCTAAAAGTGTCAGATCTATGAAAGTTTTTATTTGCCTGATAAAAGTGTGTTGGTTGGTGTATGCCCGTAATTCCAGGGACTCAGAAGGCTGAGGTGGGAAATTTGAGGTCAGCCTGGGCAACATGATGAGACCATGTCTCAAATTAAAAAAAAAAAAAAAGAAAGAATTTTTTTAACTTGTTTTTGTCTGCTTTTTTAACATACTTAATATTTTGCTTTCTAATTTCTGTAGTCTGACCAGTACATGATACTGTTTGTAAGCTTTATTATTGTTAAGTGTTTCATTTATGAGAATTTGGATCTAGAACACTAGTGTTTCTGGATACCTTTTCCCAATATTCTGGAAATTTGTAAAATGGGATTTAAATAGGATTCACTATATAGTAATTTTGATTTTATATTTTTTATTACTATGAACTGAGTTTTCTTGGAATAATTTAGATTTCTTCATTTCTGTGTAAAGAATAGATAATATTATTTAATATTATTATTTAAATATTTTTTTAATTTTAAGCATGTTTTTCTCTTCACAGAATGACAGCCCATATCAAGGTGGTGTATTCTTTTTGACAATTCATTTTCCTACAGACTACCCCTTCAAACCACCTAAGGCAAGTATTTTCCCTTAGTAAAGATTTATGCTTTGTTTTAGAGGAATCGAGCATTCATGGAAATAAAGAGTTCTGTGTGATTGAGGCTAAGCTTGAATGAGAATAATTTAAATTGAATATAATAGATGGTGTTTAGTTTAAAAAGCTGGAGTGATTTGAACTTTATAAATGGGTATACAATTTGCTTTGTCATTAATATTGCAAGATTCAAATATACCATGTGGAAGTGTTTCCTTGATACTTGTACACTGATTTGGATTATTGGTCCTATTGGCTTGTAAAAAAAAAACAGGTTCAGTTTCATATGTGCACATAATGCATTGCAATTTCACATTACTTTGGTTTCACTATATGACTAAGAGTTGCTTAAAGATAAACAGTGGTACAAAAGTTCAAAGCCTGCCACATTAACTCAGCAAGGCCCTAAGCAATTTGACCTGTCTCAAAATAAAAGGCTGGGGATATATAATATAGTTCAGTGGCAAGCTGCCCCTAGGTTAAATCTCCAGTACTCAATAATAAATTAAAAACAGTTAATCTTCAGAACTTTTCACCATATTTTAGTAATGAAATTTTTTGCCCCAAAGTTATATTTTTAATTTTAATTAAAAGAAGGAATCATTTGGGGTTCATGGTCAGAATGTAAAAGTCAGTTTTGATAATTTTTGGTAATTTTATGTGCATAAATTAAGTTGTATTGATTCAGTTTGAAATATTTTAAGCCTTGCTTTTAAAGTTTTAAGTTTAGAATGCTTGTTTTTATTTGGATAAAATACTTAGGTTTTTTTGTTTGTTTTAGGTTGCATTTACAACAAGAATTTATCATCCAAATATTAACAGTAATGGCAGCATTTGTCTTGATATTCTAAGATCACAATGGTCTCCTGCTTTAACTATTTCTAAAGGTAAAATACTTGTAGTAGAATAAACTTGAGCTACTCTGATGTTCTAATAATTACCGGGAGTTTAATCCTTAAATCTACTTACCTGAGTATTTTTATTTCAACATTGTGTTTATAAGGTTAGAAGGGATTAGACTTACATTATTTTTTACTCTTTTATCAGTGTTGGTTAAAGAGATTATGTTTGAAAAGTTGCCCAATAAGTTCCCTTATTTAAAATTTCTAGTCACATGTTATGGAACCTTGATTTAGGTGTTTCTTACCTAGGATTGTTAGTCTAAAACCGTGGAATCTTGGGAAAGTCTCTGGATCAGTTTGGATCTACTTTGAGTAGGAAGTTTATTATGTGACATATCTTTTTTTTTTTTTTTTTTTTTTAGAGGGAGAGAATTTTAATATTTATTTTTTAGTATTTGGTGGACATAACATCTTTGTTTGTGTGTGGTGCTGAGGATCGAACCCAGGCCGCACGCATGCCAGGCGAGCGCGCTACCTCTCGAGCTACATCCCCAGCCCTATGTGACATATCTTTAACAGGTTGTCCATACTGCAGGAATGTCACAGTAGAGTGGTGTTGGTTTTAAGTTGTTTCTTTTTTGAGTGACTCTGGAAGCATTTTATATCTTTTTCACCCCACAAATAAAATCACCTATGCACAAAACTTAAGAGAGGGAAGAAAGTATGTCTTTTTAGTTTCAGTTTGGGGTGTTAACTTGCCATTCCTTAGGTACATAGAATTAGGTTTTTAATGTTACTAATTATGACTTAAGCATATTTTCAGATAGTCGTACATCTTAACTTTTTATGAATAAACCATAAGTTTGGTAAATGCAAAGTGAAATAGGTGTATTTGAAGGGAGGACAAAAAAAATACATGGATTTTAAGTGACAAATTCCAGTCGAGTCACTACTGCTGGGATGTATTCCTTTCAAGTTTTTAGTTATAATTGGACTTAATAACTTTTTTTTTATGTGGTGCTGAGGATCAAACCCAGTGCCTTTGAACATGCGAGCCAAGCGCTCTACAACTGAGCCACAACCCTAGCCCCATCTGAGATGTATTCTGATGCTGAAAACTTTTTTTGTAAATGCAATTTGAATTGGTGGTGTGGTGGTTTGTCTTTTAGTGACTTGCTTTTTTGGCATTCTTATTTGCTAAATTATTATTTTATCACATCAGTCGTAATTTAATATTGTAAGTTACTATGTAGCTGGGTACTCTCTGTTGTGTAATTTTATATGCTCCCCCATGCATTTGGATTTGAAATAAATTGTATTTACTTCTGTCAACAAAAATTTTTCGTTTACATGATGGTCAATTTTTTCTCATGCTGCTGCTTTAAGCATTTTGATCTTATAGTCTCATAACAATACCTGTCTACTGACTGGCACATAACAGGTACTCAAAATGAATGACATCTATGGTCCTTAGTGCTATCATCTACTAAGTTGGTATGTTAAAAGGTCAAGTAATAACTAGAACTGTGAAGACTCACTTTGTCCATGAGAGCTTGGCATTATTTTACCAATACTCTTGGGAGTGTGGTCTCTACCTTACAGAGAGACAAGGAGACAAAAACCTTTGAGGAAATGAAGTTTGTAGTGCAGATTCTAAAGTTCTGTTGACAATTATTCAAACTCCTGATGCTATTATGTAACATACATTTATTTTCTTTACAGTTCTTTTATCCATTTGTTCACTGCTATGTGATCCAAACCCAGATGACCCTTTAGTGCCAGAGATTGCACGGATCTATAAAACAGACAGAGATAAGTAAGTATGCAATAGTATTAGGAAAGCTATTAAAAGGTTCTTAATGAGACAGGCTTATATTCTGTTGTAAGTTGTGGCGCTTGCAGGAAGACTTGATGCTTGTTTTCTGGTAAGATAATGGTTAAAATGTGCCCCAATCTAGTTATTAAAAATGCGTTATTTTTTAAAAAACCAGATTTCAGTATATGTGACAATGAATAACCCCTTCAGGTTTTCTTTTTCTAATACGTTAAGCACTTTTGTCATTTTACTGTCAAGTTTGAGGGAAGAAATCACATTTTCTTCACCCAGGTGTGGTTTTTTGTTTTAATAAAATTATGTTAGTACTGTTGTAAAAATTGTTTCTATATTTCTCAGATATTTGAATTATGTTTGTGTTCAACTTAACCATTGTAACTGTTGTATGTTATAATTAATGCTAAGTGTACTTGTTCAATTAGGTACAATAGGTTAGCAAGAGAGTGGACAGAGAAATACGCTATGTTGTAGGGTAAGAGGATCTGCACTCTATGGTGCGCTTATTCATGGAACTGCCAGCACTTGAGTGCTGCATGCTTTAAGGCACTGTATTAACTAACAAACGGTAACAGATGTGGCAGTTTTCTGAAAACTGTACATTTAACTGCTTGAGCTCTCTTTAGCGTGAAAGTATACCTCATAGTCAGTACTGTTTGAAAATATTCTTGCATGGCAAAGCAGTTACATAGCATTAGTTAAGAAGTAGAAGTTTAAGAGTATCAAACTACCATGGTGTTAAATTTTTAGCTTGAAAATGTACCAGTAGTATATGGAATGTGGTGATTTTATTCAAATTTTGCCAGGAGGTAGGATTATAAGGGAAAAACACTTGAAAGCCTAAGCATCTAATCTAAATGTTCATTACTGACAAGCATGCATTAATGTCAGCTGTATTTTGTGGCTCCCTGTATGCTAAACTAAAGCCTTTGATTTAAAGTGCTAGCTTTTGAAGAGAATATCTCTTTAGTAGCATAATGGAATTGGGTAGAAAAAACTTTTATCTGTTTAAGTTTAGAAAAATAGTTGAATTTAGTTCTTAGTTTAAATGAAGCTGGTAATCTTTTAAAAATTAAATATGTAAGTCTAAAAGTTCTGTGCCTTTTGATGTATATTCATTTTTTAAGGTTATCACTATATTTTGTTGGTAAGTAGCCTCTGGCATGATTGTTATCTGTGGAGAGATTAATAGTGTGTGTCAATATTAACAGTCTTCCTCAGCAGTAGCCCTAGTTCACAGGTGAATTATCTGTGGATTTTTTATTTTTTTTTTTTAAAACAAAGATGTCCAGTTTAGCAGGTCTCACTTGGGCTTAGTAGCACCAATCGCCAGAATTTTTAAAAGTAACACATGTGGGTTCTAATTAGCACGACCACTTATACCCATCTACTCTTAAATTTCTTTGTCAGCCTGCCCACTATCTGTCTGTTCTGCCTACGTTTCAAAGATATCTCTCTTCTGGTTATACCCATGCCCAAGTAACTTCTCAGGTCTAGGTTTCAGATGACAATTTTTTAGTGATAGTACATGTTTGGTTCTAGCTTTGGAAATTTTTGTTGATGTACAGAGAATATGTATTCTGTGTGACAAACATCTGTGAACTAAAACAATTTCTGCGTTAAAATTTGTTGTAATGGGCTGGGGTTTTGACTCAGAGGTAGAGTGCTAGCCTAGCGTGCGTGAAGCACTGGGTTTGATCCTCAGCACCACATAAAGTAAAACAAAGATATTGTGTCCACCTATAACTAAAAAATAAATATTTTTTTAAAAAATTGTTGTAACGGATAACCAATTTTTAGAATTTCTGATAGACCATTAGCTCAGTGATGGAGAAAAAGTCTTTGGTTTTTGTTAGCCCTCCTACATTTATTAAAACAATACTGCTTTGAAAGCATTCAGTTCTCATTTCCCTTATTGTTTTGGGTGCCAGTGCTATTTTTCCCTTGTTGGTTTTATTCTAATCATAGCCATTACAGATGGCTTTATAATGAGTCTGTAGGTAAAATAGAAGTCTTTTCCTTTTAGAAAACAGTAATCTTTTCCTTTAACTTATTAAAGTAACTTTTTCTTTATTTATAGGTACAACAGAATATCTCGGGAATGGACTCAGAAGTATGCCATGTGATGCTACCTTAAAGTCAGAATAACCTGCATTATAGCTGGAATAAACTTTAAATTACTGTTCCTTTTTTGATTTTTCTTATCCGGCTGCTCCCCTATCAGACCTCATCTTTTTTAATTTTATTTTTTGTTTACCTCCCTCCATTCATTCACATGCTCATCTGAGAAGACTTAAGTTCTTCCAGCTTTGGACAATAACTGCTTTTAGAAACTGTAAAGTAGTTACAAGAGAACAGTTGCCCAAGATTCAGAATTTTTTTAAAAAATGGAGCATGTGTATTATGTGGCCAATGTCTTCACTCTAACTTGGTTATGAGACTAAACCATTCCTCACTGCTCTAACATGCTGAAGAAATCATCTGAGGGGGAGGGAGATGGATGCTCAGTTGTCACATCAAAGGAAGCAGCATTATTCTAGCAGCATCCATTTTGTTTAAACCTTCCACTGTTAGAGATTTGAGGTTACATGTTATACTTTATGCTCATAACTGATGTGGCTGGAGAATTGGTATTGAATTTATAGCATCAGCAGAACAGAAAATGTGATGTATTTTATGCATGTCAATAAAGGAATGACCTGTTCTTGTTCTACAGAGAATGGAAATTGGAAGTCAAACACCCTTTGTATTCCAAAATAGGGTCTCAAAACATTTTGTAATTTTCATTTAAATTGTTAGGAGGCTTGGAGCTATTAGTTAATCTATCTTCCAATACACTGTTTAATATAGCACTGAATAAATGATGCAAGTTGTCAATGGATGAGTGATCAACTAATAGCTCTGCTAGTAATTGATTTATTTTTCTTCAATAAAGTTGCATAAACCAATGAGTTAGCTGCCTGGATTAATCAGTATGGGAAACAATCTTTTGTAAATGCAAAGCTGTTTTTGTATATACTGTTGGGGTTTGCTTCATTGTTTGACATCAAATGATGATGTAAAGTTCAAAAGAGTGAATATTTTGCCATGTTCAGTTAAAGTGCACAGTCTGTTACAGGTTGACACATTGCTTGACCTGATTTATGCAGAATTAAGCTATTCAAATAGTGTAGTTTTAATATGCTGCACATGATACTGGCAGCCCTGGAGTTCATAAATGGACTTGGGACCCAGCAGTTTTGGAACGTGTATATGGAGTTTAAGAAATTTATTTTCCAGGTGCATCACCAATCTTAACAAATTTCTCTTCACCGTGTACACTTGACAGCTTAAAAAAAAAAACAAAACTAAACATGGGAGTAACAATGGGTCAAAATTTACAAAATAAAGTACTGTTTTGGTGTGGGAGTTGTCATGAGGCTGTGTTGAAGTGACTTAACTGTGGGATATTGAGTATCCATTGAAATGGATTTGTTCAGCCATTTACATTAATGAGCATTTAAATGCAACAAATATCATTTCAGGTGACTTAACATGAACGAATAAAAGTCAATGCTATTGGATTTTTTGTTTGACAAGTGCTATCTGTGCCACTAAACTTCTTTGGTAACAAGGGCATTACCATTCTTCACCCTTCCTAATTCTGATCCTGTAGTTATGCTTCTTAGTTATTTCATTTTAACCATTGCTTTATTAAAGTCCTGTATTTCTAGCACGTGACATCTCCACTTCCACATTTTTTGCACTGCTTACGCTTGTGTGCAAGTCTTATTCCTTGTCTGCACACACAGGTGGAAAGCTAGAAATAAATGTTAATGCTTAATTTTTTATAAACGGTTTAATATGTAGTTTGGACGTGATTTATTGACTTAAGGTTCTTATCTAAACTGGAAGTGAAATGCATGCCTTCTGAAGATATTCTGGCTTTGTTAATTCTGTAATAAGCATTTCATTGGGAAGTGTCAATCCAGCTATACAATTTTTTCCAATGAGTGAATTTTTTTTATTTTAACTTTTGCTTTAAAAATTGTGGGTTCTTCAGGGTAGATGTCATGCTGTTAAAACTTTTGGATTCAAATTATGAATAAGAAACTAGTAACTGCTCCACAAGGTAAGAAATACTGCTTTTTGGCTCTGTTCTTAAAAAACAATTATTTCTGAAACTCCTGTGCTCTCAAAAATAACAGCTTTAGTAGGCATATTTATTGAAAGCCAAAACACTAATAAAACTTTTGTAAGCAGTGGATCTTAAATGGGCTTTCACATTGATCTTTTTTAGCCTAGAACAACCTTAAGTATGTACAGAGATGACTTAAACCATTGATTGTAATGATAACTAGTGGATATGTCCAGTTCTCTTTATCTTTGACTTAATGCTTTATACAATATTTCGTATGTCGCTTCTAAGGGAATAAGCCATAAAGGCTTCTCCAGGTTTAAGAGAACAGTAATTTAAAGTACCTGGAAAACCAACATTTTTGAATGTATGGACACTAGACTTGGGATCATCTACGATGGAACTTTTAAAAGAATGAAAGAATTTGTTCTTTTTTTCCCCCATCCAAACCAGTAATTCAACATTACTAGTGCCATGTGTAGGACTGAAATGAATATTAGCAGATTAAATACTGATTTGGACCATTTCTGTGTATTTACTGTATCTTTTAATGCATAAACTTTAATTTCTTAAATTCTTAAAATTTCTCTTAAGAGTCCAGTTGACCTGTTAATGGTAAATTTACATGTTAAGTGATTCACTCTTTTCCCTGGGAAGATTTGCAATGTGATAATCAGATTTTTTTTTTTTAATAAATGATTAGTTTGTTTTCCTTGTGTGGGTGTACTCACATTTAAAAGTATGAACCACAGTTAACATAGTGGTCTCAGGGGTAGTGAAACACTCACTTTTTTTTTTTAATAGTTTGAAGTATACTGATCATGGTGTGTTAGTGATGGGGGGGTGTAACTCAAACTAGCCATGTTTTGTGTTAACATAACAAAACTGTTAAATGATTGTTGATTACACTTTTAAGTGAAATTTGTCTTCTATGAGGAACCCAGTGCAAGTCACTAATGTTGTCTTAATAGTGACATCTGCATAAGACTTGTAATAGCTGAAGTTAATTGAGCTTAAAGGAATTGTTATCATTAAAATCTGTGTTTAAAGACAAGTTGGTCTTACTTGGTAATTCCAGTGAACATGAAGTCCACACTTAAACTTTAATACTGTATGTGAGCTCGATTTTGAACATATTTAAACAGTAGTAATAGACTGGTCTATGAAGAACTAATGTGATGGTTTTTAAAGTGACTCAGAACCAATAGCAGCATCATTTGTGAAATTATTGGGTCTTGTCCCAGTTGTACTTACACTGTGAGGTAGAACCCAGTAGCTTGTATTAAAAAGCTCTCCAGATGCTTCCATGCATGGTAAAGATTGGGAATTTATTTTTGCTACACATAATTCAACCAGTTGTTAAGTATTAAAAAGAACCAGTTCCAAAGATCTATCTGCAAGGTAGATTGAACCCAGATTTCATTCTGTGGCTTTAAAACTGGGCAACTTCCCCCTTCATCCCACCAATGTGAACAGTGTTTGCAGTGTTTGAATTTAACATTAAGTGTACCCTAAACTAGGCATTGTTAAAGCTTTTCTTGTGCTTTCCCAATGTAATGGAGGTGGGGAGAGAAGGTAAGGGTATTTAGAAACGGGGTTTTAAGACAACAGTCCACCACCACAACATAAATGTTAAGATCAAAAAGTTCCCTGAAGGCTATGCATGTGAAGTTTGCTGTTAGAACACAGTGATCACTATTTGCATTATACTTTCTTAAACTTTCCAAGCCTTATATTTTTAAGAATTTTATTAATTCAGATGCATAGTGTTTCATAATTATTTTACTTGGAATGTTTTCACTAAGGTCTCATTGTCATAAATTATATCTTCCCAACCTGTATGCTGTTTCTTAATGAGATTTTAATAACGCTCTATTTTTTAAATTAATACAAAGAATGGTTTTATGGGGGAAAAATTCACTTTCACAAATTTGACAGTCTGTTTGCTGATTTTCCAAAACTTCTGAACTCAACAGTTCCTTAGGCATGTGGCTATCTCAAAGTCATCTAGAAGTGGCAGATTTCTACACAGAGATGTGCACATACCTCCTATTATAGAACCTGAGTGAATGTAAACAGTTGAACTGGCCCCAAACCTAGGCATCGTGGCTTTTAATCTCCTAGTCAAAATTAATAGTGGTCTTCTTGGTTTTACCCTAAAATTTTTATTTGGAATCTACTGGTTCACCATACTGCTATAACCATGGTGTAAAGCGCCACCATCTCTTAATTGGGTTATTTTAGTAGCCTTCTGAGTAGTCTTTCTGCTTCCTACTTTGCAGCAATTCTACACCTAACACCCAACATGAGCATGTCTGGTATGTGTAATGGCTTTCCTCCAAACCTAAAATTCCCATCATGCAGAATAAAAGCCAAATATTAAAAGGAAATGTACAAGGCTGTAAATGAAACTTTCCCACAACTGTCCCATATTTAATCATTCGTTTGCCCCACCATGACCCCAACTCTCAGCCTGACCTCTATTGAGACCTGGACACGGGACTTTGTCCTTGTTCTTCCCTTTCCCTCAGATGGTCTTTCCCCAGATATGGCTTCTGCCTTTCCTGTAGATCTCAAATGTCACTTCATAAAAGTGCTTTTTCTTGATAATTATGTAATACACCAACAGCACCACCACTGTCCAGTACATAACGGGAAATTCCGTATTATCCATCTTATATGTAATTGTTCCCCTGCAACCGCACCCCAGAATGTAAGCTCTAGAAAGATACTTTAATGACTAGATGATTCCTTGGCACTTTAAAAATATTTTTGTCAAAATATTTTTTATACAGAAATGACTATGAGCTAAACGGTACTTTGCTCAAAGTATTTCGTTCTTTAAAGAAGAAGCCGAATGCATAAAAACAAAGTGCAGTGTAGTATAGAAGTTTAGCTGAAACTTCACAACTAAAATAATCACATTGAGGGAATAGACGTTTCAGTTTGTCCGTAGGGATGATGAACCTGAACAACTTGCTGGGGAAAAGATATCAAAAAAAGTAGTATTAAGACCAAAAGAGAAACAACATACCAGGAAGCTAGCTTTCATCCTGAGAATGCTTTTGAAGTACGTAGTAAACATGAGCATTAATTTTCATGGTCCCAACAACAAAAAGCAAAAGTTGATGCACCCAAAGATAGGTGTCAAATAGAAGTTTGTTTATCTCGAGTCTTTGGGTTCTCTAGCAGAGTATTCTGCTCTACAAATTTGAAATAGTTTGAAGATTTGCAACCCAAAATCTTTTGTAAGTGGCCCCAGAAAGCTCAAGTAAAGGACTTACATCAAGTAGAGTAACCAAAGCAAAATTTCTTCAGAAAATAATAGCTTACAGCTTAAAGAAAAAGTATAAAGGAACATAGTACTATGAGTGGGAGCCAGCCTATTTGCAAAAATAGTTGGGCTGGGGTTGTAGTTCAGCAGTAGAGCATTTGCCTAGCATGTTCAAGGTTCTGGGTTTGATCCTCAGCAACACATAAAAATAAAGGTATAAAAAATAATTACATTTAAAAAGTCATCCAAATTTGAGAGGAAGAAATTCTATTCTCGGATGATATCTCATACATGAAAAATTCCAAAAAGTCACACAAAACTCATGGAGTTAGTAATACAACAAACATGATCCCAAATAACAGAAAAATCAGTTTTAGTATTATAACAATAAACAAAAATGAAATTCCATTTACACTAATATCAAAAAGAATAAAATGTTTAGGGATAAATTTATTGAAGTGTGAAACTTGTACCTTGAAAACTATAAAATATTTCTGAGATATTAGAGAAGTCCTAAATAAAACGGAAAGGCATTCTGTGCTCATGGATTAGAAGATTGATGAGATGATTCTCAATACAATCTACAGCTTTGATGCAGTCTGTCAAAGTCCCAAAGATATTTCTGCAGAAATAAAAAAGGTTTAAAATTTTGTAGAGGATTGCAGAGTCAAGCAATTTTTAAAAAGAACAAAGGTGAAGGACTCATACTTTCCAAATTCAAAACAATTACAATAATAAACTGTGGCATTAGCATAGGGATACAATTGTAAGCCCATGACAGAACTGAGAAATAATCCATACATTTATGGTCAATTGATGTTTAACAAGGGTGACAAGACCACTCAGTGGGGGAAAAAAATACTTTTTTCAACAAATGGTTCCAGGACAACTAGATAAGTATATGAAAAAGAATAAATTTGGATCTCTGCCTCAAGTCACACAAAAATTAACTCAAAATGTATGGAGGCGCCCTGGCTGAAGCTCAGTGGTAGAGCACTTGCCTAGCAAGGGTGGGGCACTGGGTTCAATCCTCAGCACCACATAAGAAAAGAATTAAAAGTTATAAAAAATATATTTAAGGGGCTGGGGTTGTGGCTCAGTGGTAGAGCGCTCGCCTAGCACGTGAGAGGTCCTGAGTTCGATCCTCAGCATCCCATAAAAACAAAATTGTG